GACCCTCATGAGCTTTACGCAGTCTTTAGCACGCTTGCTCAAATTTTGGTCTCTGACCGAATCATGCCTTGGGGCGGTCTCCCGGATTAAAAGCTTCGTGGAGACCGTGCCGTCGGAAGAGCAAAGTAAACGCCTCGATGCTGACTCCTTGTTGTCCCTTAATGAGAAGGTTACATGGCCTAGTCATGGGGCAATTGAATTTGATAAGGTCGTCGCAGCATACAGGTATGTTATCACTTATCCTGTATTCGCGCATATCGTTCGATCGATGTGTGGCCCGCCGGTAGCCCGCAAGCATGGATGCCTGACCCGTAGATAACAGATCTCATCCCGTCCTGAAATCAGTCTCAATGCGCATCAAACCAGGGGAAAAAGTCGCCATCTGCGGACGCTCGGGAAGTGGCAAGTCATCCCTTGTGCTCTGTCTTGGTGGATTGCTTCCCATACAAAGCGGCGCCGTTCGAATTGACGGGGTCGACATCATCAATGTCTCTTCACAGGATATCCTCAAGCATCTGAGCGTCGTGCCCCAAGATCCGTGCTTTCTGCCCGGAACCATCCTGCTAAATATTGATCCTGATGAGACACTGTCGGAAACCGCTCTGGAAGGCGTCCTTGAAGCCACCCATTTGTCTGCTATTGTTCAGAAGATGGGCGGACTGAACGCTGATTTAAAGCCGGAATTATGGTCGGCTGGGCAAGGGCAGTTGCTGGCACTTGCGCGCAGTATGGCGAGGAAGAGCGTGGTTCTAATCCTTGACGAAGCCATGAGTCGGTGTGTTGCCCATAATTCTTCCCAAGATTGGATTTCCTCTTTTTTCTCTTTCTTCTTCTTCTTTTAACTTAGGGGCTTCTCGGAAAATGCGTACACAAATTAACTACTGTCTCTAGAGTCGATCTTTCTACCCAATCGCTCATGGAACGCATCGTTGCTAGTCATTTCAACCATTGTACCGTTCTTTCAATCGTGCACCGTTACGAAAACATATCCGCCTTCGATAAGGTTGCGCTCTTCGAAAATGGGGAACTTATGGAATTTGATAGGCCTGAATCATTGCTATCGAAAGAGACCAAATTCCGGGCTCTGTACACTTCGAGCCACAATTGAGGAATTGAAAGGTCGCTGATGTGCTCAATAAATTTGGATGTAGTGGCGGTCAAAGCCCCCTTCCAGCCGATCGATCAATATTCCTTCTCTTGTTTCTGCGAGTGTTATATAAACCAGTTATAGATACGTGCATAGTAAAATGGGGAGTTCTGCATCCTCATTAAGCTTCAAAGTCTTTCAATGCATTATTTTGTGGCGAGGACATATTAGAATGCGGAGTAGGAGTACACTCTCCTTCAATGAAGCTACGACTCCCTTCCTCATGCTGGACCTTTCAAGTTATTCAGTTGCTGAAAGTTACACGGTATAGCATGCAGTAATATTCTCGGGGATGCGGTAAATGCAATACCAGTTGACGATCATTTTCCTTGGTATGCCGTCTCATTTTAGGGCGGATGAGGTGATTGGGTTAGCTGATTCCTGTGTGGCACTACTTAAGTTCAGTGTCACGGCCGCCTCCAAGTGTTCTTTGGATAAGAAGTGTTAAACCATGTTGTTACCTAATTTCATGCGGTTTGCATGGCTATGCTTGAATTACATACTGTTTAGCCATGTGGCCATCGCCAATAATAGGTATAAATCAAGACCTGATCTCTCCCCACCCCGTCTCAATATCACCATTCCTCCAAACCATGGGCTAGAACGAGGATACATTTTCATAGCCCCGTTCAATGCCGTTTCCGAGCCGGCACATCGAGCACCACAGCAGCCCGGTGCGTATATATTCAGTGACGATGGTGAGCTCGTCTGGTCCGGGTACACCTACTTCTCGACCTGGACAGGGAACTTCCAAGCCGCGCGGTGGAATGGTCAGGATGTTCTAGCCGCATTCGAAGGTGCGCACAATGGACTCTACGGCCATGGTCATGGTCACCATGTGCTCCTGAATCAACGGTATGAGACGATCAAAGAACTCCGCGCGGGTAACCATCTGCTCTCTGATAAACATGAGTTCGAGATCTTGAACGAATCGACCGCTTTGATCCAGATTCATCACCCGGAAGTGCGAGATCTGAGCAATTACACATCCGACCGACGGCAACATTGGATTGTTAACGCAATATTTCAAGGTTAGCTCTATCTCAGGATAGTTCGTAATGTCTTATGGAACACGATAAGGGCTTATCAGATCACACAGAATTGAATATCAATGACGGCAAAGTGTTGTTCGAATGGAGAAGTCTGGATCATATTAGCCCGGAGGGTACGTTGGCCCCCCACCTCTTTGGTTTATCACAATGGAATCCTCTACATCAGTAAGGGAGAAGTTTATGTAGATATTAACGCCTATGCGTATCCCAGAATCTGCTCTCCCGCTTCCCAACAATCAAGCGGGGATTGGCCACAATAGCTCTACTGCCTGGGACTATTTTCACATCAATTCGGTAACCAAGGGCATCGACGGTCACTATCTTGTGTCCGCACGTCATGCCAGCACCATTTACAAGATTAACAGCACAGATGGCAGTGTCATCTGGCGACTAGGAGGGTCGCGATCCGATTTTGCCCTGGGTCCTAACGTAGAGTTTGGCTTCCAGCATCATGCCCGATACCTTGATCAGGTCGACAATAGCGACGTGACAAGAATAACGCTATTTGACAACGCCGTATATGGCTCTGAAAGTGGCGGTGGCGGTGACAAGGAGGTCCGGATTTATCCCTACTCCCGCGGCAAAATCCTCAGACTGGATCATCCTACTCGCTATGCTTCCCTCGAGTCCTCGTTTATTCCTCCTGATCTACTGCTGGTGAAATCACAAGGCTCATTGCAAACCCTTCCCAATGGGAATGTTTTCATAAACTGGGGCTCAGAGGGAGCGATAACCGAATTTTCTTCCGATGGGGAACCTCTCTACCACGCATATCTGGACTCCCGACCGCTCAGTCGTGGCGACGTGCAGAACTACCGGGCCTTTCGGGCAAACTGGACAGGTCTTTCCAGTGAAGAGCCCGCTGTAGTAGCCTTTCAGCGACATGGGACCCATTGGGGCAGCGGTGGAACCGATATATACTTATCATGGAATGGGGATACAGAGACGGTCAAATGGCGGCTTCAACTGCAAGGCTTACCGGTTGGGTGGAACGAGGATGTTCGGGACGGAGAATTCGAGACGAATGTGGCACGACGGGGATTTGAGACAGTCCATCATGTACCCTTTCCATTGCGGAGTATTCGCGCACAAGCTATTGCTGCAGATGGAACGGTTCTTGCCTCATCTAGACGAGTGCAAGTACAGGCATGGGAGGTCTATCAATACCTGCTCCAGGAAGACAACGTTGAAGCTGCTGATCTGAAAGTCTCATCACCTGGGTCGCGTCTGCGTCCGTTGCTGTTACAGAAAGCCGATCAGTGACACACCATGTGATCCTCAATATAACGTGCTCTTAATGTATACATATTCAACGTAAACGTTTGGGATAAATGTCAAGTTGTAGTAGCATAGGCAGGCTCTTCGTCACCCCCAGGCAAATATAGGGAGACGCTCCCTTCCGCTAATGCCACAACGCCCTGTCGCTTATTTAAGTGGGTAAGGCTCACTCCAGATAAGGTAAGGCTAGCTTTTGGTACAGATATGAGATTTACCGCCTTCTGTGTCAAGACGCTTATTCGCTTGAGTCATAAGGTTTCTGCCTTACCGGGGGGATCAAAGTGGCAGGCGGTGAGGCCTGTGAGCACGCCTGACCTTCCCAAGTGTAGGCGGAGAGTGGTATGAGACGCACGGTAGCCCCTGCCCGAATGTCAATGTCTTGCTGTTTACTGCCAGCAAAGTATCGAACCATAAACCGTTCTTACAACTTCTAAAATTGCTTATGAAACTCTCCTCGTCTTGAAAAGGTCGTCCATCAATATACGATCCTATTCCAGAATCGTCACTGACGGAGATATGATAGTACTTGGAGGTAGAGATCAGGCACCTTAAATATATAATTGTGCTTCTCAAAAGACAGGCTAGGACCATGAAATGTTAAAGCAATGGACTGAAAGATGATAGCCGAGCACTATAGTCAACGGTCTATAAAGTAATAGAACAGAGTACATATTCTGCTGAAAGGATTACGTAGTCAGCTTATATGGGGAGATGATAATGATGATATTGTTGAGCACGGCCCTATTTGGTGTACCTCTGGTTAGCTTAGTAGTCTTATATCTAAGGCGGAGAAAGAGCGGCAGTATCCCCCACCACCCGCTCGCTGTGAAACAAAAAGTCTTTTGTAAAAGAAGATGAATAAGCAATGTAGAGCTAGCTGGCTAACTAATTACGTATCAAAGACATGATGCTTGGTTTACTTTAATGCCTCAGGCACGAGTACATATAAGAAGATTGTTCAATGCCCCATACAATTCACATTATGAGTTTGTCAGAGAAAATTATCATTGAACACCTTCAGGTTTGCTTCATACACCAGAAATCTTGTATACTGTGGCTGCCCCCCGTTTTGATTATCTCGCTGGCAATAGTAATATATTATCACTCATTGTGTAAGCAAATGCAGACACTTCTCCAGACACAGGTAGCTGTTGTAGTGATAGATTGTGCTCTTTAATTGTTTATTAGCTAAGAATGAAGTGCGCAATGTGGCTTATAACCATGACCTACCAAACGCCAATCACATGCTATATTGATGTTATAGTGGGTGCATGTACGCATTTTTCGAGTCTATGTGTCTCAAGAGACTAGCTCACCAACTATAGCTTGTCAATTTGCCTTTGCCCTTATCCCCTAACCCCGTAGAACTCTGCAGTATAATGTCCATATGTCCGAACATGGGGTATTATACCTCGTCGCTTTTATATCGATCACATACTCCGCACATACCACCGACCCGTTCAGCTGCATGACCTCCCCAACTGTAGTATTGGCTACAACTGTGTCCATCCAGAGCGTATGGTTCAGCGTCGTCGTGCTTCCCGCACCCCCGTCAGATCTAGGATATTAGCTCCAGGCTGCGATAGACCGGCCTGATCAAGGATGTACTGAGGTGCCGTGTTATTGTCGCCCATATCGTACAGGCGATGCGGGTACTTGGCCATTTGGCACTCCCACCAGAACTTGTCCAGATAGGCGTGATGCATAAAGAACAAGGGGTCGTTGCAGCTGTCTATGAGGTCGAGCATCAATCCGCTGACGCCGCCATGGCCGCCTCCGTGGGGATTGCCGTTATAGCATTGCCTAAATTCTGCCTTTAGTTGTCGAACAACTAAGGTACGGGGCTATAGGATGGTAGTCATAAGCGGAAGCAAATGGTGCGACAATCAACGGAAATGGCAAGCAAAGCAGGGGAGACTACCATAAGAAAAGGAGGCAAAAAAGGCAAAGAATTTCTTGAATTGATTAACAGTAAAGTAGTACAAGGATGACAAACAGTCTATAGAAGGATTCTTAAAGTTGCAGATCATGACTTGGAAATAGGAATACTCACCATCCAGTCATATACATCATCGGGTTACCCAAATTGTTTTCATGGCAGCTACTAGGTTAGTAGCTTATTTAGCTACTGCTATAGGGACCCGCGGGACTACGTTACTAACCAATCAATACGGCGGATTCCCCGGCAGTCTGGGCAAAAGCTGTGTACGTGGTAGACTACTGGATTGTGTTTGAATGCATCAAGCCGTTTAATTCTGCAAGTGAGCAGAACGGTTCGATAAGTATGTTGGCTACCCGAAAGGTTCATTGAACATTTCAGGAAACTGGATTACCGAACTGCAACCCACTCGAATGGTTAAGAGAGATAACGCGGCGTTCTGCATCCTGCGCTCCTTACTCGTGCGTTAAAATTTATGTATTCTCTATTTGGTTTCCTGTTTCCGGCATGTATCCGATCAAATGAGGCATGATGAACATGCACTACCCGATTTGGGAATATGGACTGAGTGACATAAACAACATATAAGCCATGTCCAACGACGCTCGTCGCATCTTATTTAGTTCCTACAAGCCCAACTATCTGATCCAAGTATCACCCTTGGGCTGCTACTATCAAAGGTCGGAAAGCTTACTAGCAGACCTTTTGGGTTCCTATTATACTTTCCATGCGACCAAATGTACCTCAAAAGTCGGAGCAGCGGGTCCAAGTGTCCTACCACCAAGAGGCTACTACTCTTCTACAATATTTGGGACAAGACCATCATCCTGATCATGGATTCGGTGCAGTGTCAGCTAGCATCTACGATACCGCTTGGGTGTCAATGGTAAAGAAGCCTGTCATAGGTAGGGAGATGGCCTGGGCTTTTATTGAATGTTTCAAGTTTCTATCAGAAGCCCACTGTGAGGATGGCGGATGGGATGCAAATGCGGTTCTTTTTGACTGTATTGCCTGTACACTTGCTGGTCTCCTTGCGCTCAAAAAACACCTGACCGAAGAGAAGGATCACACGAGCCGTCAAGCATTGGATGAGAAAATATCTAGAGCTACACATTTTCTGCGTCAAGCTCTTCCTAAGTTACCAGCTGCAGTCGCATATGAGCTTCCGATCGGCGCTGAGCTGTGGCTACCAAAAATGTTGGAGCTTATTGAGGAAAAAAGAATCCATCTCGACAATGCAGCTGTGCTCGCTTGGATTTTGCTAGCTCAGGACAGAAGGATTTCCCGATTCCCGATAGAAAGTCTCCATGAAAAGGGATTTACTTCCGTTGCACACTCCCTGGAGGGGCTTATTGGGTACGCAGACTTTAATCGGGTCTCTATGCTCAAAACATGTGGCAGCATGATGGGCTCTCCGTTCGCAACTGCTGCGTATCTCATTTACAGTGAGAAGTGGGATGCAGATGCAGAGGCATATATCCGCCGTGCGCTCAATTCTCCGTGTGCGGGTCAAAATGGCGGCGTGCCTTCAACATATCAGACGACTGTCTTTGAATCTTCACGGGTTCGTAAGATTTCTCCTCTCTCATTTCTCTGTTTTCAGTCGACTTCCACATTCCTTGCTTCTTTAGCTATTCTTCGTGGCAAACTACTGGCTTGTTGACTACTGATGTCGGTTTTCGCGCGAGCAGATAGCCGTCACTCTTTTGGAAAAACAAGGTTCCTCTTGGCAAGGAAATAGAGCCATTGGTGAAGAATATTGGACTCAAATAATATGTTAAAAGCACAGGATCGTGAAGTTGATTTGGCGAGTAGTGTCTATGTTCCGGGTAGATTGATGACAGACAATAGAATGACGCTGACTGGGAACTCGTTTAGCAATGGGAATGTGCGTGGACGCCGATGACACCGCGAAGCATTATTGCTGCTGAGTCTGTTGGGATTACCAGCTTGTCCAGATCCTCTAATCGGCAAATTTGAATTACACGATCATTTTCTAACCTTTTGAATCGAGCGAAATCCAAGCGTCAGCACTAACGATCATGTTCTCATGGCCCTCCTTCACATGGAAAACAATAGCACATATATTCTCCAGGTAGAAAAGTGTGTTCGGCTCTTGTGTCATACGTAGTGGGAGTCGGATGGCTTTCAAGATAAATGATTAAGAAATTGGCTAACCACCAGATGTTGGGCTCGAGAGAATAGACTTTAACACGTTTTATGAACATATCTCCTACTATCCCGTTATGTCAATATGTGAAGGGATAGTGGATTATATACACAAATGGGACAGCGGCGCTTTTGCTACATCCAGTCACTGGCCTAGATGCCCAAGTGCCGCTGGTTGTTCACCAAGCGTTGACCAAGTTCCTCCGAGCTCAGAATGCTGATGGATCCTGAGGACCGCGATCCAGCCTTGAGGAGACGTCGTATGCAACATTGGCCATAAAGAGTCTCCTGACACTACCGTTCAGAGGTGAGCTGCGAGGAACTGCTATTGAACAAGCAGAGTCGTACCTACAAGATACACACAGTCGTGGTTACATTTCAATCAGAGAACGGTTCCGGATTGACAAAACAATCTACAGCATTGAAACAATTACAAGGTCTTATATCATATCCGCGATTCTAGCGCCGACGCCTAATATCCAAGCCAGCGAAACTTTGGGCGGTCTCTTCAACACCCCAAGATCTGTCATCCAGAAGCAAGAAAACTCTCTGCGAAGCCTCCCGTCATTTCCCACATCCCGAGCTGGGTACTCGAGGCTTCCGTATGCGAGGGCTACATGATAATCAATGAGCCACGTAAGATTGACTTCTTTTCACAACGGGTCAAACTTAGCGAAGACTACCTCCTCTACTGTGCGTCTTGTCTCGTGGCGAGCAACTACAACGGTTCATACTTTGAGTACAGGCTATCTCTTGATGGTTCTTCGGATCACAGTAGCGACATACCAGCGTAACACGTTCGTGGATCACCAGGTGATCCACTTCTCGTCGCCAGAGCTAGACGAATTAGAGGCTTTCATACAGAAGAAGCTGCATACCGGGAGGTGTTCGTCCACTGGACGTAATGCAACCAATGAATTCAATGAGTGCAAAGGAGAACCGCACGCAAGAGTAAAGGAAACAGAGTCAATGCTCCTGTCTTTTATGAATTTTGTGCTGACTGATACCACTGACCCCGTGAGCACTTACAACAAATTGAACCTGCGCAGTGAGCTGAGATCTACCTTACTCGCCCAGATTGACCATATTAGAAGTTCCAAGAGCCTAGCACATGAGGGAGTGGACCTCCTCCACGACCAAACCGGAAAGACAACCTTCTTTTCATGGCTACACGGGCCTGCTTCAGACAATGTACTCTACCCTGTCATCCTTAAATACATAGTCTTCCACATGGGAATGAGTCAAGTGCAGCAAGGCGATGATGTGTTTCGTACCCCAGAAGAGCAATACATCATTGAGGATTTCTGCAGGCATGCTGCTGCCGAGGTCCGGCTCTGGAATGACTATGGCAGCATTGAGAGAGATAAGCTGAGGGTGTTCTAAATTCAATCGATGTTTTGAACTTACAAGTTCACGCCCTTCAGCTAACGGGATCACGGGCGACAGGTCTGACAGACCTTGCAAGGTCGTATCTCTCAAGAAGATGGCACAGTACGAAAACAGACATGTTCGACTTTGTTTAAAGCAGCTTGAGACGCTCTTGCAAGGAAATGATGCACATCGAGCGTCTAGTATAATGTCACGGCTCCATATGCATGCGACGGTGACTCAAGTGTGGGCAGAGATGTACTCCCTACGCCAGTTTAGTGCGGCGAGTCCTCAGTCTTCATCCAAGAAAATAAGGATTACTGGAAGTGCCACCCTACCCCCACTTCGGCCAGCCTCGAGTGGAGGTGGAAGCGCTTAGATTCTGACTATTAAGGCTCTATAGTAGATATTAATTCACGGCATAAAATACTGCAGCTAACAGCATGTGAAATGATCATGATGGTAAAGTTATCATACCTTCTATTCTTCAACAAGCGGACCGTGAGCGTGAAACACCAGTTACCGCTGAATTAGACACAAGCACTCATTGAGAGCTGACCCGGTCGACCGCCAGGGATGAATTAGCATACGTAACTTGTTTTTAGTCTCATACCCCTCGGATAGTTACATTCCAATCTAGACACCATGTTTGACAGGGCACTCACACTGGATGTCCAGGGGAATCGAGCTTGCCAACACGCCATTCACCATATTATCGTGTTAGGAATGTATGAGGAGAATGAGTCAACAAAGAACCATCTAGTATTCTGTCTTCCTTAGCGCCATCGGAAACAACCCTTCTAATAATCCAGCACCGGACGACCAGGGCCAGTCATCCAGTAAGTCTGAAGGCAGTTCGAAATAAGCTAGTGGGTCATCAAAGTCTGCTGGCTGGCCTGAGGTAGGTCTCATGTAGCCTTCAAAGTGTTGTGATTGATCAATTCCTGGCTGCTCAGGGCGCATATTGGCATGCCGAGTCGTATCCATGTATTCATCTATCCGCTTGACCTGTGATTTGAGCCGTTCACTGGCGCCAGTGGAGCGGGTGAGTCCGGACTCCATTTGAGACAAAAGTGCGGCCATATCTAATCTTCTTGTCAATCAGCACAGTTGTACATGAACCCATCACACGATTCTATTGGGTGCTTACAGAAGTTTGCGAACTCTTTGGTAAGACATCTCGGAGAGGCTTCCTTCCATGACAGATCCAAGAATGAATCCAATTCCCCCCAAATGGTAGAGCTTCAACAATTAGTGCACGGTCTATCTACAGTGACGGGATGGGAAAAGTATGATAGTATGTCATGGGACTAACGTACCAGTGGGGAACTGATTGCTTTGAGATATTCAATCGGCACTGTGCTAAAGACGCTGAGCACGTTCCCCGCAACCTCGCATTTCTCCTCCACACCTTGATCCTCGCTCGAAGAAAGGACCATGCTAAGAAGCTGGAGCGTTGCTTGGATGTTAGCAGATTGGAAACCAACAATATCATGCTCAGGATCACCGGTAGCAGGCTTGGTTGATTGAAGCTGCGACGGTAACGCCGAGAACAGGGAATGTACATGCTCCATAATCAAGGGGCCCGGGACAGGAGTCGGGCGAAATAATGACCAGGGGCTCTCATTCGCGGTGCGCTGCATTTGCCGCTGGCCGTCAATAGCATGCTCCAGTATTCGATAGAGATCAGTGGTAAAATTCCACCCACGCATCCAAACTGATGGTTCATGTGTGGTACAGTCCGCCGATATCGGTGCTTCTATCGCGGAATCAAGCACATCGTCATTCACTCCTCTGGGGTAGCGTACATTTGACTGAACTTCTCTGAAACGAATTATGCCTCCCAATACGGTCGCCGAAAACACATCTAGCGTATACATCGACCAAAACTATATCCTGCATCAGTTTGTCACCGGAAAAAAAGGTATCGCATAGGCACGGGGGCGTACCAGCCTCCGTCGAACTTCCACGTCCACAACGCTCAAGTCTCTCGGCCACAACTTCTCATCATGTAACCCCTCCATGATACTTAATGTATGATACATCCCTAAATATTGATGCATATCTCGAATTTGACCATTCTGGATGGCGGCAATGCTGAGAATCGCACATGCCCTCATGTATTCGATGCCTCTTGCTGCAGCCAGATCCCGAGGGATAGACTCCTTAGCTGCAGTCCAAAAGACCTCTGATGGCGGATGTGACAGCTGTGATCGTGATCGCTGGTTCGAATATAAACCGCCATCCCTGGCGCGTGCGGAGGCTAAGGCACACATTGCCATTGTTGAGGCGAACAACCCTTGGTCCTTAAGATGCTTTTCATCCCGGAGGACTCTCAAGAGCGATGGTGGATGGAATAGAGGAAATCTGCGTGGTAGAAGGCGGTTAGTCCAAAAACAAGTACCTTATACACTCTACCCTCGCGAGACATGGAATGAGAGAAGTACATCGGATAGACAATCTCAAAATACACCTGGGCGAGTTCCTGCACCACAGAATGACAGGCGATTGCAAGCGCCTTCCAGGGAGTCAACGGTGAGTCGGAGCTATAGTGCGGATCCGTGATTGCCCAGGAATTATTATCGACAGGTGTCGATAGTTGAGCAGTCACGCCAATCTGAAGATCATCTTCCGCATGGGCAGGTCGAGAGGAGATAGTCGTAGCGGCAACCTCGCCACCCGGTCGGCATGCAGGCTCCTGTTCCTCTTGGCGGGCTCCTCTACGACCACCTCTTTTCCGTAATGGACGATCATATGTACAGGGGATATCAAAATCCAAACAGTTTTGACAGGGTTCGAGTGGGCCTCTGGTCTTCGTGCATTTAATGCTACGACGATGGCAAAGGTCACCTGGGTGCTATTAGAGCCGGGGCATAAGGGGACAACGAGGGTGTAACATACAGGCCCTTGAAATACGCTGGGTTTTTCGGGGACGCTGGGGCATTTGTATTACTTTCACACGTCGGAGACGGGGGGGAGGAGGTTGTCTCCTGATCCGATGCGGTAGTAGTATGGATATATATCTACAGTCTGGCTGGCACCTTCAGACTTACTGATCCAGCCGAAAGTTGCCGAAGGCCGTAATGTGATTATGTCATGTTGGTTCCCGGCGCCCCACACAATTTAAAGTTTGAGCCAGCCAGAAGAGGATTCACACCTACTAAACACTCTTTAAATTCCTTTACGAAAGTCACTATGTACGTCCAGAAAGGGTGCGCATAAGTTTTATTCTAATGATCTTCTTTTATTATATTTTTTAAATATATCACCATTTGTTGTTGAACTCCTTCCCGTTCACATAGTTCACGAGCTCGGATACTGCAGGCAGGTGGTGCCTATCCCCTCCGAATTGCATACCTTGCTGCAACACCCTGCGATAGTTCTTGCCTGGTGATACCTTTCCCAAAACGTATGGCTGCCGAGTTTCAACCCGAGTGGGCACGGGAATAGAACGGCCCACCACTGCTTCCATGCCCTGCCATGCGAAGGTGATAGCTTCCTTGGCAGAAGCCGGGATACCTGCTTGGTCCAACATCAGAATCTTCGTGCTAGGGTAATGTGCTTGTATATATTGCGTAATGTTTGGATTATAAGCGCCGCCGCCGCACATGAAAATTTCGTCGATTGGGAGGTCTTTGGGGGCATAGCGGCGGTAGTGGTCGACGATGGCCTGAGCAGTGATCCGAGTGACGGTCGCAACGACATCATCTGGACTAAGACCTTTGGATTCCGCCTTGCGAATGAGATCAAAAGCTAAAGTATCTCGGAACACCTCGCGGCCCGTGGTTTTCGGTGGATCTAACTGGAAGTATGGATGAGTTTGAAGAAACTCATCTACCAGATCCTGGTCCACCGTGCCGCGAGCGCCCATCTGGCCGTCCTTGTCATACTCCTGCTGGCCGTTGGTGTAGTGTCGGACAACGGCATCAATAAAGACGTTCCCTGGGCCCGTATCGAAATCGTAGCAGGCATCAGTGCCTCCGAGGGAATCGGGCGGGATAAAACAGACATTAGCAATTCCGCCAATGTTTTGGCAAGCGCGCAACTTTGTTGGATGGTGCAGGAGCAAGGCATCAAAGAAAGCAATCAGTGGTGCGCCCTGGCGACCCGCTGCTTGGTCGCTAACCCGGAAGTCGGTCACAGTCGTGATTCCCGTGCGAGAGGCAATAAATGAGCCCTCAGCCATGGTGAGAGCACTGCGTACCTCCCCCTCCTCAGGCATAGACAGAAGCCAGATGGTTTGACCGTGGGAGCCAATAACGTCGATGGATGACATATCAACATCATACTGTCCACAGAACTCCTTGACAGCCGCGGCAAATGTCTCACCGAGAATGACATTCACTTCGGATAGCTCGGACGGAGATGTTTTGTTGTGCAGGATGATGTTCATGACTCGTTTCTTGATTGTTTGTTCTAGGGGAATTTCACCATACTATTGGAAAGACACGTCTGTGTTAGACTGAACGGAATTTGCGCCACATGTGACAATAGCATACCTTGAGAAGCTCGAACCTCATGGGTGAATCTGGCGTTTCCTGTTGAAAACGACAGAGAGCACAGTCGATCCCATCCTAGCGTTACATAGATAAGCTTTCAACGCCCCCTAAATCCTCGCTTAACCAGCTCGTCTGCTTACCATCGAAGTGCCACTATTGAGTCCCAGGACGGTTAGGTCCAGGGAGCGGGATACAGAAACGCTAGGGTCCATATTGAAAGGCAGAGAGAACTCGGAGCAACTGGCTGTCCAATCGAGATACCGAGGAGGGGGGGATGTTGCGCGGAATAAATAACATGCGTCGCTGCCATACTACTGCAACACCCCGGCCGCATTGGTGCCTGAATGCCTCATGGTACGGGAGACGACGGTTGTACTTGTTGACCGCCTAAACGCCAGAGCGCTTAAGTGGCTAAACGCTTAAACGTTTAAACTGCTAAACGGCGCCACTCACAAACCCTGGCTCGAACGTGTGATACTCTTGCGGGGCCCCTCAAAACGTTCTCTCCACAGCAGCTTTGGTTGCCCCAAGGCTTCGGTTCTTGCTAGGTTGTTTCGGGCGAATCCGGCATGTCATTTCTCAGAGTGGTGAAGCAAGGGATAAGCGTCTCAAGATCCGGTCATGACATAGGCCGCGTTATAAATAGTCCAACCACTACCGGTTGCGCAAGTGTTCGCGCTAAGCATTCGAAAATACAGCTGATAAACTCATAGTTTCATTCAGTGCGTTTCAGCGAGACCGAGAATATGGGGTATGCAACGTTTTGGAGGCGGTTATCCCCACGCCAACTCAATGTTATGATTCAGTCTCTTTCTCTTCTTTGCATATTCTTTGAGGGATATGATCAAGGTGTCATGGGAGGTGTCAACAGCTCTCCCAGATACGTTACAGAGGTTGGAATTGGCGAACCGGATGGCACCGTAACCGACACTACCCATCAGGGAGGCATTGTCAGCATCTACTACCTTGGATGCATTTTCGGTTGTTTCGGAGGTGGCTGGCTTGCCGATCGCTTAGGTCGTATCAATGGCCTGCTGGCCGGTTCGTTGCTTGCGCTTGTGGGAGGTGCTTTGCAAGCTGCGGCTCAGAGTTCAGATTTCATGCTCGTCGCCAGGGTGGTGACAGGAGTTGGCACTGGTGGTATGCCCACCTTCCGTACTTAGACCTCCTGAGAGAAGCTGATCTGGCTAGCATTAACTGGCATAGCACCAGTACTGGTGTCAGAGACATCAACAGCTGATCACCGCGGTGCCTTCCTAGGATATGTTTTCATTGCGAACTGTAGGTGTTGGACGTTCGATGAAACAGCCCCAGAATATATACTAATAGATTATGTTGAAGATCTAGGAATATCCGTCGCATACTGGCTGTCATTTGGTCTTGCTTTCATCAACAACGGCTATTCGGATATTCGCTGGCGCTTTTTGTTGGCGTTTCAGTGCGTTCCAGCACTCATACTACTCTTGTTCATCAAGATGCTTCCGGATAGTCCGCGGTTCCTGGCATCTGTCGGTCGTTATGACGAAGCTCAGCAGGTCCTTAACAAGATCCGTTGTCATAAATGCAGCCAATCCGAAATTGACCTTGAATACAAAGAAATAATTGCGACCGTGCAAGAGGGCAAACCAAGCTCGCCCCTTCAGTTCGCAAAAATATTAATTGGAAAAGGAGGAAACCCTGGCTCCAATCTGGGGCGACGAGCCTGGCTGTGTATATGGCTCCAGATCATGGCATCTTGGACTGGAATTACGGTAAGCTGTTCAAAGTATGAAGTCGCAGAGATAGGCTGGCTGATAAACTGTGACGTCAACAGGCTGTTACGGCTTATTCTCCTGTTCTGCTTGGGCAAGCGGGTTACAGCAAGCTGACGCAAAACGGCCTTGCCGGGGGATTAAATACGATCGGTATTCTAGGCACCCTTATCAGTACGCAGATCGTAGATCAGATCGGAAGGCGAAAATGTCTAATGCTTGGGTCTCTTGTCTTATTCGTCGTTGAGCTGGTGGTAAGTGCCAGACCCTCGTATGACTTCTTTGGCTCCGGTTCTAAGATGTTTCCTCTCCAGGCGGGATCTGTTTATGAGGCGTCCCTTCGTCAGCCAGAGAAAGCCAGCCAGTTTGCACCTGCTGCTGTTGCGATGTTGTTCCTGTTCAACTTGGGATATGCCGCGACCTGGGGAACCGTCGCTTTCTTGATACCAACCGAGATATTTCCTTCCGACCTCCGGGCTCAAGGTAATGGCTTTGGTATTACCGGCTGGGCTATTGGTGTTGGAATGACCACACTGGTTAATCCGATCATGTTTTCAAGTATCGGGAGCCGCAGCTACTTTCTTCTTGCTGGATTGAACCTTTTGTGGGTTCCGACTATTTTCCTGCTCTACCCAGAAACCCGCAATCGGTCTCTAGAGTCCATTGACTACCTGTTCTCGACCTCAAGACCATTTTATTGGGATATGGAGAGGGCATTTCAGTCGTGCATGGATGGGAAGGTAGAGAAGCATGTCGATGAGCAGGCCGTAAAAGTTGCGGGCCAGGATGAAGCCCAACAGGAATTTCACGAAACCATTCAGCAGAGAGTGTAAAGTAAGGGGACCTGGTGACGTGTGAAACAATTGCCTGATGATGTTCTCGGGAGAGCTTCCTTCACAGCAGCTCAGTGGTATGGATATTATTTTTGGAGAATAAAAACAACATTCAAGTAACCGTATTCTGCGACCCGTACATAGCGCCTTGGCTGGGGATGGACGGTCTTCGCGTGGTATTCAGGACGCAGAAATGGCTGCTTTGCTTTATGCTGTGCAATGACACGAGCCTTTCAACTGGTGATATCTGGGACGGCTTGCATATTTTTCCATCTCCATTGAGATTTTAACCGTGGAAAGAATAGTGTGGCGCTTACGCAGTAGTTTGGGAATGTGCTAACATCATGAATTTGGAATCCAAGTCAGTCCTCATCGGCTACACGTAACTCTCTGATACTTGGTGCCGAGGCTGGTGTTGAGCGTCATACTCAAAGCTATCAGTGATTGGTGACTGCCCTATCACGGATAGTGATATTCCTGCTGTGGATGCTTGGAGGCCTGGCTGTAAGGAGTATCAAACGGATAATCTAATTTTCAGGTCCCAACATGGAGGTACTTGACTACCCTTTTTATATGCAGCCAACACATTCAATTACCTAATATCCTGGATATGAATTTTGTAATGACAAATTCACGAGGAGGCAGGAGACCATGCACATGAGTAAGGCTGGAATGGCTCTCTGTGTCTCCCAAGGCAGCTTTATTTTCGCCTCACAATGTTATGAGGGTGATCCGCAACAAGTTGCGAGACATGATCAGCATCGAGATAGTGATAGCACCGGACAGTCCTATCTCATGTTATTGATTATGTATTCACCCTATATGGGAAGCCTTCTAATTGCGGACTAACTGTATTTCAGCCCATGAAGAACCGTCCTTTTCTCCCTCTGTCTACTCACAATGAGTCAAGTCACGCATTTGTCGCACTTCAACTCCGTGTAAGGAGCTTTTATCTACCGCCTGGCACGGTACTAGCTGCGTGACTGTTAGGTTACTGATCAAATGCGCGGGAGGAAGAGCCCGTCCAGTGCGTCATAGTCTTCTACCTAGTGGACGAGACGATTACTTCTGCTCGGTTCCGTTTCAGTGCCTGTTTTGACCTGGATACCTGTGCCCGCGTTCTGTGGACCAATAACACACATGCGAAAGCTCCCACCATACATCTGCGCTTGACACCTCAGCCTAAGCAGCCTCAGAAGAAAGATGTGCATGGTACTCTCAGTGACGCGGATTGCATGTGGCTCTAGCAACATGCTGCTCTCATGCAACAAAGCAGGAGTCCTCGTCCGCCTGCGATGTTGGAGCTATGGAAGGGCACTGTACGAGAGCACAGGGATCAGGGCCGTGGATAAGTGTCCCTTAGAAAGCTTGTTGCTGTTGGGGCAATTTTTGACTTCGTGAATATATTTCACTCATCGCAAATGTCTTTGAAGAGGGGGAAAATATGATAGTGTATAGGTCAGAGGGAAATATGAATGCCACCAGGAGCTCATAATCGTCGTATATTGTATAATAGGCAACTTCAAGTATCGTCAGAAACTCCAGGAGGAGAAGAAGCATTTCGAATTGATGTGAAGCATTTATGCGCGGCAAGTCTATAATCCAAGGCAACTTGGACTGAATCCGAGATTCCGTCGGGCCTTGGCTGCAGGCTTGCGGAAAAGGTAATTGCTGGAGACTATTGCGCCATAACACTACCATCCCGTTCTCTTTCGTCCATGATAACGATTGAAACCCGATTACTCAGCCAGCAACCCGGCAGGTGTTTATACCTTGTGGGTCATACTAACTAGATCACTGGCGGGAGATAACAGTTAGCGCAGAATAGACCTGCTAAGAAGTGAGGTGATCATAGCGGCAGATGGGATCATACTTGCGTGCTAGTGATTCAATTCGCATATTTAGATGCCAACATGCCTCGTACTTACAACATAGAAGAAAGTGCATCCACGATGACAAGGGATACTGAGGCCAATTCCTCGCAAGGGCATGGTATAGTCAGGCCTCTCAAGACATGGAAAGGCTACATTTGGGACACCTGGGAACTACCCAGCGACCAGCGTTGGCTACTGTTTAAGCTTGACGCGTTCGTGCTCACATTTGCATCTGTGTGTGCCAACATTTCACCTAACCCCAGAGGGTTGTAAATTTATTTGGCTGACAACTACAGATTGGTTATTTTCTCAAAAACCTGGACCTTCAAAATGTCACAAATGCATACCTTAGTGGCATGGAGGAGGATCTGGAGATGTTTGGCAACCAACTGGTGACAAGTACCTCTATTTTCACAGTCGGATATGTTATTGGTCAGATCCCCGCGAACTTACTGTTGACTCGCATTTCGCCTCGCTGGGTTATTCCGTCGGTAAGTAGTTCATTCCTCCCATGTAAATCTCGATCGCAGCCTTAAGTGGACACTAATACTTGTGCAGCTTGAAATTGGTTGGGGAATTGCAACTATGTGCATGACAAGTGTAAAGTCATACAAAGCTCTCTATGCGCTTCGATTTCTGGTAGGCCTTTTTGAGTACGTTGGACACTTCTTATATTATCTTTCTACTCGCAGCAGTCTAATCTCGGAAATAGATCTGGGTTTTACCCCGGCATTCATTACCTTCTCGGGTCATGGTACACACCACAAGAGATTGGCAAGCGCGCAATGATATTCTGGCTTGCCGGCCAAATTGGAAGTTTATTCAGTGGTTTTCTTCAAGCAGCTGCTTACACAAACTTGAACGGTGTTGATGGCCGGGCCGGCTGGCGATGGCTGTTCATCATCGATGGCATCATCACGCTACCGCTCGCCCTGGCCGGCTATCTCTTCTTCCCTAACCTTCCACAGAGTGGCAAGAAGACTTGGTGGATAACTAACGAGGAACATATTCTCTCTGTCAACCGAATGAAGGCGATTGGGCGTGCTGGAAAGGAGCCATGGAGTATAGCTAAGTTGAAAAGAATCTTGTACAGCTGGCACACATATCTACTCCGTACGTGATCCACTGTCACGGTCAACTTTGATATTTTATTTAATTAACCGATCCAGCCATGATATACATTTTGTGGAACAATGGATACCCACAGGTCGGAATGGGTTACTGGCTGAAAAGTTTCAACGCAGACCCCCCTCCTGTCCCGGGCAAGTCATACACGGTGGCTGACATTGACAACTGTGAGTTCATTCAAAACGATGTATCAGGCGAACCTAATGACTTCAAGTACCATTGGTCACGACGGGTATCTCTATCTTCGTGTGCTTTATTTGGGGTTTTCTCTCTGATGGTCCCTGTCGGGGATCACGCTGGCCCTTTATCCATATCGGTGCCGTCATCACGGTAGGTACTTTCGACCCGTATGCCCAGGTTGATTTGGCGGTAACATTTGTCAAGCTTGTTATGTGTGTCCTACTGCGCCAGATGCCTCTCTATACCAATATCTCCGGGCGCATGGCCGTATATTGGCTCAGCAATATCGGAGTAGGTCAAAGTCCTAACACGTCAAGACGTGATCTTCAGCTAATACTTAGTCTCAGGTTGGTGCTGGTCCACTCATCTTGAGCTGGATTAACGAAATCTGCTCAGCTGACACGGAGAAAAGAGCTTTGATTGTAGCCATGGCTAATGATCTTGCCTATGTTGTTCAGGCAGTGGTAAGCCTCCTTCCACCGGATAATCATATCCACGAAAGGGTCTCATGTTCAACTCTGCACAGGCACCGAACTTCGTGTGGAAGACCACAGATTTCCCAGCTGCCAAGAAAGGCTATCTTTGGTCCATCATACTGCAGGTCTTACTCAGTGAGTGTGGTACATTCCAGTGGATTTTGTTTAGAAGGGCGAAGAATAGCGACTAACTCAAATCACCAGTGGTTGTTACTGCCACAGTTCAGTTCCTGCTTTGGTGGGATAGAAAGAGGGAAACTCAAAGCCACGAGGCGGTAGAGCCGATTGCGGATTCTGATGCAGACTCAGGTCCAGAAAGCTCTAAATATGGCTCAGTGGATGCGAAGAAAACTCCCCAAACCCAAATCACACCTCTGAGCTCGATTTAGTGTAATTTAGAGGATATTGAACCCCCAGAAATTCTGTTGAGGCGTGTTTTACAGCCAAAACTTGGACAAACTAAAAAAAGATACTTATTGTTTCAAAAAGAATTTAGTATATTTTATTAAAGTTCAGTTTATTCATGGCACAGCTTAACATGATTAAAATAGAAAAGAATTTTTCTGTGTCTAGTGCTAGACCACACCGAATTTAGTTCAGACTACATTGGGCTGTAAGTCCGCCTTGCTGTCTTGGGGAAAGTCATCCATCAGGCGATGAATTTATCCCGGTCGGTGTCCAGTCCCAGGCGCTGAACTTACAGTAGCAAGCTGTAAACTTACCTTCGGTACACTGTCAGAAGCAGATAATCTCATTGTTGATGAGACTTTCACGCTCTCCTGAACCATGAATGGAGCACCTTTTTTGAAGAAGAGCTCCGCATCTTAGTTACTGATACCTCATCATAAGTCGCCAGGAAACGCCAGTAACTTCTGCAGTCCTGTACTTTTTACCAAGAAGGCCAGGTCACTGGTGGATATACAACTTTGTTATAGGTTGCCGGAGTCAGCCCCTACTCCCTGATGGGTTTCCACTCTCCAGTCAATTCCTACTGGGTAGTAGGCTCCTAGAGTTGGGTAAAGTTTGCCAAGGGTTTAGCCCCAATCTTGTATATGCTTGGCTAGGCAGGACCTCGGTAAATGGATGGCTCCTGCATTCCGATCTGAGTATTTCCAGCCATAAGCGAGATTTGCCATACTCTTCAGTGAGTCCGGATGGTCCGCGCCGAGGTTCGCCCTGCCTTCATTACCTACACAAGACTGCTCGGCCAACCCCCGGTGGCCTTTGAAGTCCAAAGTACCTTCGCGACATTTGGCCAGTGTTTCTCGCAGCGTTAACTGAGCCTGAGGCTTGCTACAAGAAATAAAGAAACATAACCCTACAGTACATACGTCTTGTATGAGCGAGGAACTGTGTTTATTCAGTAGATCAGTGGGTACATAATCATGAACGTGACTTCTGAGCCAGAAAGCCTTCTGCAGGGAAGTGGTGAAGAATCCCCACTTCCCCGCCTCCCCCAACTGCAGCCCTTTTATCCGCCTGCCGTCCATTTAGCCAAAGTAGTCCATTTAGCCAACTGCAGTCCATTTAGCCAAGTCCAGTGGCTAGATTGATGGCTACATAGGAAACGCATGACTGTAGACACAACTATAGAACTGTCTCTGGAAATAGGCTCGAGGTTGTTCAAGCGTTTCAGGTCATGCGGCAAAATGCATATGACTGAGCTGCTTCATCGTGCGGGGAAAAGGGATAAATAGCCCTTTTTTCGCAGAATATAAACACAGGTAGATCGGGCTCGCAGCAATATTCACCAGCACAGGCTTCTCTTCCAGTTGCATACATCCATTCACCAGCATTAATCTTTCTTCAATCATCATGAAGGCTACTGCGGCTTTTGCAGGTCTTTTGGTCACGGCATTCGCCGCTCCTGTCCCGGAACCTGTTCTGGTGTCGCGAAGTCCCGGTATCAACTACGTGCAAAACTACAATGGCAACCTTGGTGACTTCACCTACGATGAGAGTGCCGGAACATTTTCCATGTACTGGGAAGATGGAGTCAGCTCCGACTTTGTTGTTGGTCTGGGCTGGACCACTGGTTCTTCTAAGTGAGTGACAGTATTCTTTAACCAAAGTCTAGGATCTAACGTTTTTCAGCCCTATCACCTACTCTGCCGAATACAGCGCTTCTGGCTCCGCTTCCTACCTCGCTGTGTACGGCTGGGTCAACTATCCTCAGGCTGAGTACTACGTCGTCGAGAATTACGGTGATTACAACCCTTGCAGCTCGGCCACAAGCCTTGGTACCGTGTACTCTGATGGAAGCACCTACCAAGTCTGCACCGACACTCGAACAAACGAACCGTCCATCACGGGAACAAGCACGTTCACGCAGTATTTCTCCGTTCGAGAGAGCACGCGCACATCTGGAACGGTGACTGTTGCCAACCATTTCAACTTCTGGGCGCAGCATGGGTTCGGCAATAGCGACTTCAATTATCAGGTCGTGGCGGTGGAAGCATGGAGCGGTGCTGGCAGCGCCAGTGTCACAATCTCTTCTTGAGAGATAAGTGCCTTAGTAGTCGGAAGATATTAACGCCGAGCTTTGTTCTCAGGTGGTGTGATGATCGGATCCGGCCTCTGGCGGTTACATTGAGGCTGTATAAGTTGTTGTGGGGCCGAGCTGTCAGCGGCTGCGTTTTCAACTTGCACAGATAATCAACTCTCGTTTTCTATCTCTTGCGTTTCCTCGCTGTTTATCCTATCCATAGATAATATTTTGCCACCCAATACATATTATCTATATACAACTTGTTCGGTCGCAGTAGTCACTCCGAGCAAGGCATTGGGGAAATGGGGGATGCGGGGTGCTGCGGACGCTCTAACCTAGGGCATTTAAAGGATATTTAACCTCCAGATATTCTATACTAACAGACTTCTAATGACTGCGGAGAATATAGAGGGCGAGAATTTCTACAGTTCGACGCAGTTCAATGCAATCAGAAGGGGAATAACTAATTAGAGTGCAATCAGTTAGAGAAGGACAATATGGCAGTCTTAGTGTGGACTTACATCACGTTATGAACTATGGAGAAAAGTGAGGAGGTCCGTCTATATATAGTGCCATTACGTGTATCCCCCTCTACTAATTCTACTTGTACCCTCCCTACTGTGAAAAACTGGCGAAGTAACTGATGTTTTTAGCCAAGAAGTCTGTGTCATGATCAAAGGGCTTTTTTTATTTATTTTTTTGACAAGAGAAAGAAGCCTATCTATACTTAAGACATTATAGCGAGAGGAGGGTCACTTGACCCTACAGCCTTGCTGTCCGTCTCTCACCAGGGTGGCGGCTTTAGATTGGCTAGCTTCCCGCAATCAAACACTTTCCAAGCTCCACTGCGGGGTTGAAAGGAAGACGTTCTCCACCACTGCTCCCAAAGCAGATTGCTTTCTGCGCAAGCCTGATTCCCTGATAGTCTCCCTCTGGTCCACCGACTCGAATAAAATGGTCGGGGTGCCCAGTCGATTTGCCGGATGTGCGACGTGTCGCAGGAGGAAGAGAGGCGTATGTTGAACCCCGGGCTGTTACTAGTCTCTCATGCTGATAGCCCCCACTGGGAAATAGTGCGACCGCAAGGCCCCTTTTTGTACCCAGTGTGTCCAAGCTGGGCTCATCTGCGAGGGATACTCTCGTAACTATTCGGTCTGGATCAACTCCACAGATGGCGAGAATTGTAAATACACAGAGTATACCGGCAGCGTACAATCGCGTAGACGAGGGGCTCCAGAAATTACTCTACACCAATCGCTGGCGGGAACTGCGCGAGAGGTAATGTACGTTGGACTTTATCTCTCGGCGTTTCTACCGAACGGTCGCCTTTTCTCCAAGGAGGCAGCGCAAATATCCTCTGCTGGGTGGTTAAGATACCTAGACAAATTATGTCAGTCTGAGACGGTTCTCCGCTTCGTCACCCTTGCTCACGGGCTTTCAATGCTGGCGACGAGAGACAATGACAAACAGCTGAAGCTCAAGGGTGTCCAGGCACACAGCATGGCGCTGCAGGAAATGCGCACAGCCCTGCGGGATCCACAAAGGGTCACCGGCGATGGGATTTTGGCCGCTATTCGGCTGTTCCGCTTTTATGAAGTAAGCTGTGCTTCCTGTGAAGCCGGTCAAGTTACTCATTCTTCTCAGATTCTCTATGGCACCGAATCCAGTGGTTCGGATAAAGAAAACCCCAATCTTCAAATCAGGGGCTACTACGCCCATACCGACGGTGAAATGGCCTTGTTTATGAACAGGGGCTGGCAGAAGGAATGGAGCGAAGCAGGAATGTACTTACTCGTAAGCGGTCGGATTGTGTCCGTAAGTCTTTCCCCACCGATTTTCGTCAACGGACGGTCCATGTTCACTAATATATGTGTAGTTCATTCTAGGCGTGGGACGAAGAAAGCGTTCCCCCTTCAGCGACAGAGAATGGATGTTAGCACCCTGGAAGAACAGAACAAAGTCCCTACTTGACGGCCTGAGTGACATCCTGATCCAAGTTCCGGCCTTATTGGAAGAGCTGGATACCATTAGAGCATGTCCCATTGCGGAGCGCAGTCCAAATGCCTGGGGCAACTTGCTCGGTGAGTGCATCCGCATTGAGCACCTGTTACTGCCTGGAAGGAAACCATGGGAGACCAACTGCAGAACTTTGATTACACCAAATCAGGTCATCCTCCGCAGATGCCACGGGTAGACAGGGACTTTGCACTGTTGCATATAAGCTGCTTCTATTGGAGCTGCTGTATCCTCCTATACACAACAATCCATATGGCCACGATCGAGGCGCATCAGAGTCTAAGCGTCACATACTTCTTGACTATTCCCTTTTCTGCACCAGGATGCCCCAACTACCATAATGAGAGAAATCCGACATAACACGCCCACAGGATAGTTCACACAATTTCTCTATCCCATGGGCCTTATGCTGGTGGCTATGGGGCACTGTGTTCAACATTTCCACTAGGCATGGCACTCCGTTATTTTGCGGTGGCCCATTTTTTCCCGCACGAGGGTGGCATTCCAGGCGCGCACAAGCTTTTACACGGGTTGCCGGCACAACCTTTCATGAAGGCGTATACCGCACGTTTTGTTGGTCATCTACACAATGTTGACGTACCGGGGCAATCTCTAAAAGACACAGCGGGATGTCGTGGAGTAGAACTGAAGATGAGACGATGGTTGTTTGGCCCTATGCTTGACCACAACCCGGGTGCTACATAGAAATGTACGCTAGGGTCGCGCACAATAATCTCCATGAAGTATAGTTTGTGCTTCAATGTAGTTCAGCCTACCACCTGAACCAATTTCTCCAACCCTTGGATTCTCAAATTCGAAATGAATAAAGCGCGTCTCGGCTCCCATAAGACATATTAATACTCTGTACTGTGTACATATCTAATCCCAAACTTACCATGAGCTTGTCAGTGAGTGCACTATGCTATTTCCATCCATCTAGTAAGATGCAAGACATACACACCGCCACCTTGCTCTGGCTACATACACATCTCCATGCCCTAGAGTATTGAAAGGTTTTTTCTACCACGCACTAAAGCCATTGATTCAAAGTATCACTTAATCTTGGCTAATAATTCACTTGCTCCTTATTCCATAATGGTAGCACCATCACAACCCGTGACTATGCCGTCGTCACCATGATATAATAAATTCATTAGCATTCAAAAGAAGCTACAACTTCATTGCTTCATTAGGTTGTATCCATCCAACACAGTCAGTTTATGCTCGCCATTCTCATGTTCATTGACTTCAGTGGTATCAATGCTGGTGGTGCAATGATGGCTGCGCCCTAGAGATTGCTGGATATCGGTCAAAGTCCTATTCGGAAAATAAAAAAGAGCTTCATGTGTTTGTATTTATTTCGACCTCTCTCCTCAGGTCATAGAACTGTAACCATCATTGGGCACACATTTGTTGTCTATAACAAGGTTTTGGCCATGGTATTTTCTTAGTCGGCTTGGTGGATATGGTTGGTCCCGTTGTTATGGCCATAGTTCCAGCCGGAGAGGTATTCCGACCGTGACGGTGGTGGGACTTTCGTTTGTTTTTTCCCCTTGGGCACCGGTACCTTGCGTATTACTATATCAGAAACCTCTAACTCCAACAATTTTGGACTCGTGTGAGAGACATTGGATTTGTATGTGGTTCTGTTATTCTAGCCATCTTTGCTAACAACTAGCTTCATGTCGCGACTATCACTCTCAAAGCTGTATATAAATAGCACATTTCGAATATCCTCTTTGTGCTTACATACCTAAACTATCAAGTATCAAAAGCTATTTGTAATGCAGGTCTCCTGAGAACAAGCTCGAATGACCTGGTGCGGTTATGTACGGGATACAATAATTTCTTTTCCTCTTGGCACCTGCAGGCTATTCCCAATTAGGTACTAACATGCGCTTGGCGGATTACAGATCTACATGAATGCGCCTCATCTCCCAGGGAATAAGAGCTTAAGGATCCAGTAGAGTTTAACTAATCAGCCTCGTAGTCGCCTATCACTTACTCCGTAGTTTAGAGAGTGAGATCCGTGCCAAGCCTCCTATTATAATTGGAATCCTCACCAACCCCCACGCGGCCGTGAGTGAAGATCTAATTCCGCTATCAAGGACGCATATTATGACTAAGTCTAACACTTCCAAGCTTTCCAAATCCCACGGACTGGGATATAATGCCTAAATAATAGCACAAGGCTGGATTGCTCTGCCTGACAGGGGATTTTGTAATGTCATCCAGGCTTAACAACCTGCAGTCACAGTCTTTGCTAAGCGCCGTTTATACACAGCTGGTCCCGCGAGATTGATTAAGCAGTGTTCTACAGTATTAGCAGTAGAGCTAAATCCTTATTTTATGTCCCATTTCATAACATTGGCTAGGAATTAGGTCATTATGTGTCATATATACAACAAAGAACTCTTTCGTTTGGAACCAGCTTTTTCGGTGACTTGTAATAAGATCTCACATTACTATTATACTACCAGCCCATCGCATACATCTTCGATATATGCTTATATGATTTACAACAGCAGCTAATCATTGTTCTTCTCATCGAAGCAGATACACAAACCAGCCACCATTGGCATATCCACACCAGGTGCCACAGTCACGTTGTAGGTGTCCTGGCCAAAGAAAATATGACGAGCGGTAAAACGTTTCCTGGAAATGCGAGCGACTGGTTCTTCAGTACTTTCATTAACGATCTGGGCAGCACGAGCGTTCCAGTTTCCTTTCATTACCAACAAGACTTGCTTGCCGTACCGGTCAGTATAGATAGCCGTGGCTTTCGACCCAATGACTATAGCTGTTAGTTTTACAGTCGGACTGTACATTTGTGACTGTTCCTGATCTCGCATATCTTGTTACGACCGGGATCTTCCATCACATATGTAGTATGAACGTGCATATGCTCCTTGCGGATATCGAAGAGAAGGTTGCGATGCATGTCTTTGACTTTCTTACGCCCGGGAACCGATAACAAAGCACCAGTTACTTTCAAAAGTGGCATCCCATCCCCAAGTGTAATATCAAAGTTATCTCCAGAAAGAGAGAGTATCCTTTCCTTCAGGACTAGGACTTGTGTATCCGTCGCAATAAACCTCTCACTTGAAACGATAGGCTCGGACACCGGCTGCAGGTAGGGTTCAGACATGATGATTATCAGGTTTGTTTAATCGACATAGAACGGATTATGGAAAGACGTGACCACAGCAATATCATTGTATTTATATATACTTGTATGACCGTTTCCTGCTAGCCTTGCGGCGTACGCGAGGCTGTTCTCGACTTGGCGTATCTTCTTGGGGGCCGAAAAGCTAACCCAATCTAATTTCATCCTGCGGTTAGTACATCTCTACGGAGGGGCTAGTTGCTCCGGCCACACTAGTCAGGCTGGAACACCATTCCTACCTTCTACAAGCCCCCTGTTCTGTTTCCTACGGTCGGAGAAAATAGGTTAACAATTCGAGTATCTGGATCCGGATGTCATATATTAACCATGGCTGCAAGACTTTAGCCTTCATGCCTCTGTAAGAGCTCAATCATCCCATTTAGTAAAAGTAAGAAGAGGTCCTTTGAGCTATCTATCTACACTATAGTATCATAAGTCTCGGGACATCTGCCCAATTTACACCAAAACTCGTATATTTCAAATATGATTATTTCTACAAATTTATAAGATATTATTATTTTTAAAGAATTTAATCATATATTTAAATATTGAATAAGTATTATTCTACCGATAAATTATTTTTAGATTTTTTGGTTGTAGAAATATCAGAATTTAAATATAAGTAAAATTAGAAAAATATATATTTTCTATGTAACTTCATACAAAAATCAGAAGAAAATTAGAAAATATTATACTCTTAGTTTTTAAAAAATCACAACACAAGGGATTTTTACTTTTATAAAAAACTTTATATATAAAATATATAAGAAATATGTCTAGATTTTATATAAAAATATAAAAAAAATATATTTATATATTAAAATTCTGTAATAATCGCTTCGAAAAGTTTAGTAATAAATCTAAATATATTAAGATTTTTGGTTAAATAAGTAATATTACTTTATTTTTAAATAAGTATATTAGAAAGATAGTATTTATTAATATAATTCTCAATTAATAAAACTATATCTCTATAATCAAGAGACTTATTGTTATCCAAAATTTGAGGATTTTTAAGTGTCCCGAGACTTTTGAACCGTTATTGTAGGTAGAATTTCCAATTGCCATTATGATGCCCAGAACGGCCATGCATCACGTGACCATCTACTATCAAGTCGACCATCGAGGGTATACTCAAGGTATACGGGAATCCCAGGTCGACCACTGATCTACCCTGAATAGTATAGAATATGGTATACAAAGAATAGAATATATGATAATAGTCTCTCATGTACTTAGCTAGTTCTGTTTTCATACTTTATAATACTGTTTTTAAATAACTATATAGTATTTAAAAGCTTAGTAATAGAATACTAATCTGCACTTACTTACAAATAGTTATATGGTATTAATTAGTCTAATTTCTCTTCTCTTAACCAAGTCCAGTCAACCCTTAGATAGTCACCAGCCTGATACCTCCTCGACCTAGTTCGAGCAGTACGTATACCAGGGAAGCTAAGCTAACAGGGACAGGGAAGCGATCCTAGGGTTTGACAACTGGTAAGTCACTTCTTATTTAACCATGTAATCTGGAATAAATCATTTCTATTGGATGTATTAATTGTACAGAATGGACTCTATCCCTGTGCATTATCTTTAAAGAGAATATTTGTATAAAGGGCTGGTATCAAGGTAAAGTCTTACCACGCAATCAAAGGGTTGAAGTCAGTGATAATGGATGGACTATTGATATTATCAGACTTTTTCTTAAAGCTTATTCTTAAGCATGCATAGACATCTATACTGCTAGTAATATCAGAAGTAGATTCTTTGTAACTGGACTAGTTCTATTTAATCCAGAAAAAACTGTATTTTATTTTACACTTGATTAAGAACTTCTACATCACTATCTAATTAATTAACTAATTCAGTATTTAGAATATCTTATACAACCAGGCAGCTTGAAAAGGTACGTATTTATGATAAAAAAAGCTGTTTAATGCGTGTATATACAGCCTTTTATTTTTACTATAAATATAATTAGACAAGATCACAAGATTATTAAGAGTCATAAACTAGCTCTCAATAAAGCTATTCTTACACGTGAAGAAATCCGGGAATTATATATTTTAAATAAAAATAACTATAAAAATGGAGGTATTCAATTGGTAACTAGTAACTGTAGAGGGTCTTATCATTTAACACAATCTAAAGTATTCTTAATAAGAAAAAGAAATTCAAGAAGTTTAAGATACTATACCTACTGATATAGAGCTTTCTGTATTTCGATCGCGTATACAGATGTCCCTGTACTGTAATAATTTCTATATTATAGGACATAAGCAACTACAATGTCCTAATCGTGTTCTGTATTAGATTTTGTGTTATACTTGCAATTATTTTGTTGATAAGGTCATATTATTTAGCCCACGGTCAGGAATCGGAGAGGAGGTGGCCAGCTCCCTTGTGGATGACATTAGTTAAGTTAACTAATTAGTAAAGAATCGCAAAGCTTACGAGACCTTACCATGACTTGTCTGATAGAATAAATAAAATTTTAACATGTACAAGTTACTCACCCAATTTGGTCCGCTGAGATTGAAACTTGCTTAAAATGTATTCTTTAGCTGTACTATAATGAAAATAGAAAGTTACAGTCTGATGAATACGAGACTAACCTCTATCACACCAGTATAGGGTCATCATAAGTTGCTGACGGCAGTGGCCTTAGCAAGACTGGCCTATTAAAAGAATAGTGTAAACCAGGATTATCCCATAACCTACACCGGCATTTTAATGGCCAATGATAAGCATAAAGTCTGTGGGTAGAAGAGTACTGAATAGGTTTATACTGTATTGTTGGCGGAATCAAGAAGCTAAGATCATTTCCATTTAAGACCAGGAAGGTGGGGAACACTATCCCCAGGCTTAAATGCTCCCATATAAGTAATCTCGGCCGATAAGACTGCATTTGGCTTCGGCGTAACAAAACCTTACTACGATCTGCCACAGTAAAGAGGGGCTCAGTGAAAACCCTTAAATCTTCTAACCAGGATGGTACTATTTCCTCACTACAATTTTAGCGGCCACTCTGGAAGTGATATAGAAGGAAATGGAGCAGACCCTCTGACAAATTCAGGAATTGAAAGGAATACTGGCGCAAAGACGCTATATGATAAGTCCGCAATGGCACTGGGAAACCAAGGACTAGTAGTATCATTGTGAACAGGGATAGCATGACAGTCCGGGCGCTAGTTAAATATGAAAGGCGCGTGGTAGGCACCCATCAATATTGTCATCAATAGTGTTACCCAAGATTCTGCATTCCGCTAGCGGAAAACACCGATCTTGAGAGTCGCTGTACTGTTTTCTTTTCTTCTTTTGTTTCCCCTTCATCCCTTTTCCATTAAATACAAGGCGCACTGGGCCCCTGCAGTGGATGGGATGAATAATCTGGCCTCAATCTCAGGTTGCGAAGCGGATGCACCACCCTTAGAAGGGGCCTTTAGCTGCTCTCGGGATTTCAGCTTGCGGGTTATATTATAGCACATAATTACAAGATCAGCCTGCTATTCCTGACTTGTACACTACTCTCGATGGATATATTGTCCAACATAGATATAGCGCATTCGATATACAATATCTTTGAAACCCATTATCTATTTCAGCCGAGGTTGATGACGGGTGTTGCTCGACGCATGCCTTGTTATTGGCAGGAAGATGAGACCCCAATATTGAGACCGATATTAAACCAATATACTGTCGGGGACTGGGAAGTCTCCTGGTTGGCCTGGACGGTTCGTTCTCATGAAGCCGAGGTTGCTATATATTCCCCGGTCTTTATTCACTCCACAAAGCAGCAGAAAAAAGCGGGGTTCCTCTGCTTACACCAGACGTAAATGCATATATAAACTCTTCGATTGTCATCTCAGATTTTTATTCTTCAACCCCAGCTTCGTTTTCCTTTGACCCCTGCTGTTACTTGAATTTACTATCATTACCATGCTTTTCAAGAAGTCTATTGCCTTAGTCGGAGTAGCCGTCATTCCGGTAGCATACGCCGTGACAGCCAAGCGAGCCACCCCCGGTGCGTTCGTCTGATACGTTTATTTGAAAAACTCACTGATGCCGCCTCAGATCCTGCCGAGTGGACGGAGCTTCACCGCGCTGCACTACTGTCATCGGCCGCATACAGTGGCTGTGTCGGCTCTGCGTTTGATGTGACCATCACAAAGCAGATCTACGACGTGATCACTGATGCCAAGGTAAGATGCGCTTCAACAGCACTGGGATCACAGTATTGACCCCTTTCAGGGCTACATCGGCTACTCTACCGAGAAGAAGCGCATCACAATCGCCATGAAAGGCTCCACTACTGGTAGGCGGGACTGCACCTTTTCAGCGGAAAGTAAAATGAGAGACTGATTCCTACAGTGGAGGACTTTGCAAACGACGAAGACGTTATACTTGTGACTCCTAGCCTCTCCGGTGTCAGCTTTCCTTCCGGCGTCCAGGTCATGCAAGGCGTCTACTGGCCCTGGTCGTCAGTGCATGACACGGTGATCGCTGAGGTAAAAGCCTTGATAGAGCAGTACCCCGACTATGATTTGGAATCCACCGGGCACTCCCTGGGAGGGTCACTGACCTACTTGTCGTACATTGCCTTGGCGCAGAACTTCCCAGAGAAGAACGTCATCAGTAATGCGCTGGCGGCTTATCCCATCGGCAACTCCGCTTTTGCCAACTTTGGCACATCATTGAATGGCACATTGAACCGGGGTAACAACGCCGGGGACGGTGTCCCAGTGAGTATGAACTGAGATTGGTTTGGGACTATAAGTCTGACCACAGATATAGAATCTATATGTCTCCGCGCCCACTTATTTCGTCCACTATGGTACTGTGAGTATCATACATGACTTTGGACCTGCACAGCGCTGACTGGTTGAACAGGAGTACTACAGCTCAGGTACTCAGAGCAGTACCGTCAAGTGCGTTGGAGAGCGGGACACCCAGTGCTCTGCTGGGGATGGACAGGTGGGCATCACCTTAGCGCACTTCTCCAATTTTGGCGTTGTTATGGACGAGGCAGGCTGCAGTACTTAGGTGTCAGAATGAGTGGGCATTCGGCTAAGATCGGGACATGGAATCGAGAGGCCGGTGACCGGAATCAAGGCCTGAATTGCTGGGTCACATAGTAAAGATACCAGTCATCATCTTACGACCCTTTGAGACAAGAAGATTTCTAGTCCTGTCCGTTCTAGGTCTGACTTGGCTCGGTTTTACGGCGGAGTTACTGGAACAATCAAAGAGTATACGTGGTGACAGTAGTATCCGAAAGGGCTGTAATAAATTAAACTGTACTAAGTCAGGAATCACACGGCTCCGTTCAGAATCGAAGTCATGGTGGTGTGCTGAATAGAATTTTTAGACCTACTTCCAGAACATCACAATGCTGTAGATCGTATAATAGCTCATCTTCATATCGAATATTCAAATAAAAAAACACATTAAAATGGACATATTTTTCAAATAGCCAGTGATGCAGTATTTGTAGATAATACAAATAGCTAACTAGAACCAGCTCAGAGGCTTATATAAGCAAACTTTCTAGTTAACGTAGTCAACGGCTAGGCGGCCCACACGGTTACGCGGCCCACCCCTTTTCAAAACACCACCTCGAATTCCTACCCGAAGCCATTCAACCACCACAGATACCTCCAAAAACGCCTATCTCATTAAAAGCGCAGGTGGAACAGGAAGACAGGATCCTTCTTACCATTAAGATTATTTAGAATAACCATATCACCAATATTCGCAAGGCAGCATGTATTTATAATATTTCTTGAATCATCCTCCGCGCTTGATTATCCGGATGTGATTTTGCTCAAGATATAACTCACAAATGTTAAAAATTATTGAAAAACAAGAAGAATTTGCTTATCAAATAGATTCTATCTCTAGATAAGCAAGGTGCAAGTCCCCGGCTACTTAAAATTAGAAATATAGCTAATCTGATTCTATCTGAACAAGATTATACAACTTCTGAAAAAGTAGATATTAATTGGGTCTATAGCTTTGTTAAATGTTATAAAATCCTCCGAACCCATTACGCCAGATAATATAATTATTAAAAAGCTCAGATGGAGGATCCTGAGATTATAAAAGACTAGTTTAATCAGGTCCAGGAGATTATATAAGAGTATAGAATCTTATCAGATAATATCTATAATTTTAATAAAACGGGATTCGCTATAGGAATAATTACTACAGTTAAAATAGTAACTAGTTTCTAGAGAGCTGGCCAGCCATCCCTAGTTTAATCAGAAAATCAAGAATAGGTTACTTTAATTAAATATATTTAATCTAATAAAGAGATTCTATTCTTAACTCTAATCTTTAAAGATAAAACATATCTCAAGACCTAGTATAAAGATTAATCTATTTCCTCTACCTGGAGGATTCAAGTCAGTAATAATAATTAGACTACTAATATAATTAGTTTTTAATAACTTCTAAAACTCTTTATCCTGTGGATCAAAGATAAATCAGTAGATAAGTATAATCTTCTAGTATTTAATAGCCATGGCAGTCATTTAATACCTGAATTTAATTAAATTTATACTGAGAATAATATTATTCTTATTTATATACCTGTATATTTATCTTATCTACTTCAATCTCTGGATGTTGGTTGTTTTAGCGTGCTTAAGCACATATACGAAGGCATAATTCAAAAGCAAACATAATATAGCTATAATTATATTAACAAGCTTAACTTCCTAGAGATCTATTCTAAAGTATATTAATAATCTTTAATAAAGTTAAATATTATCAGCAGATTTAAAGTAACAGATCTTATTTTTCTAGATCCTGAGTAAGTGCTTTTCCAGCTTAATATTTATCTCAAAATATCATCTACTCCAGATAGTTAATTAAGTGGCTCAGTGCTTCAAATACTACATAATATAAAATATCTTTTGAAATATCATAATACAGTGGATTAATTACTTTAGAAACAGTAAGTAAATCTAACTTTACTTACTTATTCTATACTATATCAGCTTCTCAAAGGGTGCGAGCTAGTAATAATAAACTTAATTATATTAGCCAAGAAGAATGAGGAACTACGCACCAGCTATATAAAGTAATTATAAAAGAGAAAGTATTCGAGGAAGTAAATAGTCTATATAAAAGATATTACTATTAAGAAGGCTTAGGATATAATCCAGTAAGAACAGAAAATACAAAATAATAAAGATATTAAAATTATTAAATCTTAATTTTTATCTATGGAGACCTTCTCGCGCGCGCCTCCACGCTGCACCAATTGCTTCATTATTGGTCACCGATGTACGCAGTATTTAAAACCATCTAGTTTTTAATTATATAGTATTTTTATAAGCGTTTGCGTTGAATTAAAGACTTTATTTTGAAGATATCAAGTGTTTCGGGCAGGAGGATGGGCCGCGTAACCGTGTGGGCCGCCTAGCCATTGACTACGTTAAGTTAACTAGTTAGTTAACTAAGTTAACGTAACCGGCAAGCGAGTGGCCCAGGTAAGCCAGTCAGCCACCTGTGTATCCTATACTAATCTAACATATATCAATCTCTATTATTTCGGCCACCGTTAGCTCAATGACAATGATATAGTAGCTGAAGCTATACATATACTTTAAGAAACCAAATATCAAAGACAAGTAATATAATAGGATTTATATTGTATATCATATTAGTTTGAAATAAATCACTAAAAATATAGTATAGTATATTTTACTCAAACATATATTATTATTTATTATATAAGATTTATATACTAAGTTTAGATACATTCTAATATACCAGTTCTATCAGAAAACCTGAAATAATGAAGTTTGGCTGTAGTATTACAGCTCAAAAATTGCTGGATCAGTATAGGATACACAGGTGGCTGACTGGCTTACCTGGCCAACTCGCTTGCCGGTTACGTTACGTCCCGTTAATAAGTTCTATGTATGTACCGGAGGGAGTTTCCGGAACAACTAACTGCAATAGGTATTAGGTACTGTAGCAGTCTTCCTGTCCGACTATACCTTTGCAGGACCATCCTTTCAAAGCCTGAAACTACTGTATTTTTAGATATATTCTTGAGAGTAGTAAAGAAGTGAAGAATATACAGCTCCTCTCTGAATTAAGACCGTGGTAGTATGCCAAGCGGAAACTAAAATCAGCTCAATAATGATCCCACCAGTGGGTGTGGACATTAATCAGTATCCTTTTAAAAAGATTCCTCTTGATATCGCGGAGTATCCCGGAGTAACAGAGAAATCTTTTAGTCTTAAGTTACTATTCAGCAGTAGCAGACAGAGAATACTACTTAAATTTCACTGACTAGTAGATAGATTCGTTCAGATAACCTAGTAAGACTGGAATCCTACAACTTATAGCTATTATTCAGAGATATAAATATTACAATGTTAACAGAATCTTCTCATCTCAAATATATTATAAATTTATACTTTTCATCAGTCTTCAGTTTCTTCCAGCCTTATCATAGAGATAAAGTATAATATCCTTTATCTTCCAGGGACTTGACATGAAATATAACAGGCTCTTAAAAGAAATAGAAATTAGATTAGTATACTGTCTTCAGCTAATCAAGACTGTGGTTAAAAATAAAATTATAAAGGCTCTGCTAGCTTATGGGCTGGTGGTATAATACTTAGTATAATATTCAGTTATTCACTAGTATTATTATTTTAGTTTTGAATTTGGCTGCGCAGCAAGAATATAATAAATCCTTGGAGATTCTTCGCTAAAATTTAAGAAGATTTATCTTAAATAATTTATCTATAGAGCTCTAGGATAATTACTAAAAATTTAAGTATTATTAGAAAATAATATTACATTTAAATATAAACTATCTTCTGAGTAATTAGTAATCCATTAATTGTCTTATTTAACACAAAGCAACTAAGAAGATAATTATTTCTCTGCTATTTGAGAGTACTTTACACCATACTAAGCCGCCCAGTTTTAGAGATAACTGCATTATTAAATAATATATAATAAATTAATAATACAAGTTTAATCTACAGCTTGTTAGAGCTGGATTATTATTATCAATATGAATACTGACTGCTCGCTAGAATAATATATAGAACAGTATTATCTCTACTTTATATGCATATAACCTTGTAGAGTATAACTTTCCTGAAAGTCTTGAAGCTTATCAAGGCCTGTGGTGGCCAGCTAACTTAAAAGTATCAAGTATTTATTAATATTTGTCATATCCTTGCCTTATCTCTTAATGAAAGGATAGAAAGTAATATATACCTAATCTTTGCTAGCTGGTTCTCATAAAATGGATACATCCAGGAATCTACTACTAACCCTGGAAAGGCAATTGACTCAATTATAGAAAGCATCTAAATAATTTAGATAAAATAGTGAACAGAGCTAGTAATACTAGTTAAAGCTATATAGTTACTGAGCTAATAATTAATATTATAACATCTTCATTATCTTATTTATTATTTTATATATATTTAACGCCACGTAGTACAGGCGGATTGGGAAGATAGTGAGATCTATGAAGTCTAATAATTAATAATATACTTAGGTGTCACGACATTTTACATAAATAATAGACATGTTAGTATTTATACTGATGTTGATATAATCCACTGAACATACTGACCAGTGGATGAAAAGGGAGTTCACTTCTATTGGAGATAAAGGAGTATAAGCTAAATTCAAAAAGAATTACTATGAACGTAATTATGGACTGAGTTATAACATTACCTTAATCCCAAATATTATCTAATCGTGGTAACTATTAGATGACCCTCACCTACCTGGTTTCTTCTTCCATTCCTATCCCCAACTCTTATAAAAGGTCATTGTCTATTCAATTTACAGCGCTTTTTTTAACAAGACCACCCCAGTTGTCGTAGTCAACACTTGTGAGCTTATCTGCTTTTCTATAGTCTGTTCTCACCCGGGATTTCTGTTGCAGCTCTGATAAGCAGAAACTATAGCAGCTTCCCTTCATCTGAACTAGCATGGCCAGATCTTCTATAAAGACACTCATAGTGTGACTTTTTGCAAAAGTTCCTTGCTCTTAGTTAATTCACTCTATTTAGATTACTATATTGGCCAGTTATTGTAGCATCTTCAGTCCTGATACCATAACCAGCGAAGTCTCCATGCAGCCCTGGTATCAGTTATTCGGCAGGCGATATATCTGAGTTATATTCATAAAGTATGTAAGCATAGAAATAACCCGGGGAGAGCAGAGGAACACTTGCCAATCATGGCTTCAACCATAATAGATATCCTGGACCCTCAAAATAGTGCCACTAATCCATTTCAGGATATTGAACAGAAGGTCTAACTTGGGATAACTTCAGAAGTCGAACACTCCAAATCAGAATTTGCAATATGGAATTCGGTCTTTCTTCCATGGCGCAGGAAGATTGAGCTTTACTAGGCCCCTCCTGCGGATTTTGCTTGACTTATTACTTCATATCACGTAATAATACAATTTCATTCTTTTAAAAAGAAGGCTGAGTATGCCCCAGGACTTTTTGTATATAACTCTTCTCCCTGTAATAGCTGTTATCGCGGCTGACCAGCAGCAGTAGTAGTACATTCTTTCCCTCCACTTAATGCCCGGAGACTAAATATGTATCTATTCACTTCCTGATTCATTCAGGCTACTAGATACGTCTTTGAGAGCCAAAATCAAATATTATATGCTCGCTTTGGCTTTATTTTCACAATAACACCCTATATCCTTGAGAATCTGTCCAAGATTCTGTTCTACGTCATTTTTAAATTCAGGCATACAGTGAACTTCACATGCAATGTCAACTGGATACAACAGGTCAGCTAGCACTTCGGACTGTCTCTGGAGTACTATTCTCGTGCTCAGTGCTACAAGCGCTATATTTGAGGAAGTTGACTCTTGTTTGCGGTACCCTCCTGGAAGAAATTATATTAGTTTAATTTTGGGCTATTTTATACTATCCCCAAAAGGGTTTGATCGTAATCGATATTTAGACTGAAACGCTTTTCTGAGCTCAATCAACTAAGTACGTTTCGGTCAATGCCTTCTATTTGACCGCGATTGGATCACTGAACTGAATGGGGAGCTGTCAGCTGGAGTCCAGGCAGTGTCACAGTCTATAATCTAGCTGGAAGCTACGGCAGCTGATACACCCCGTCCGGAGAACCATCCGTCGAGCAAGCCAGACTTACCTACGGAGTGATACTGGCTCTCAGTCATGCCTGTGGGAGTGCTGAATGGGAAATATCAAAGGTAATGATAAAATAGATTATCAAAAAGTAGGTGGGCACTGCTGAAGGAATTGTCTAGTGGTCAGCCTTACCCGAATACTAATATTCTGGCGTGCGACTGTAGAGCTAAGTACACAGGAAACCCCTTATTCTGTAGAGAATGTTAGTAGATATTAAGTACTATGTTCAAACATGCATCAAGGGCAGAAGATAATTCCACTGGTACTGGATGAGAGAAGCCGGGGGAGCCGGGAATTAGGAGGTCGCTTATTCCCTTCCCCGCGGCTAAAATTTTCTCCCCTCTTTTTAACTCCGACAATTCATCCCCGCTTCCATATTCTTCTCCTTTCAACGGAACTCGTCCTCGACATCGAGACTGAGTAATAACTTGAGACTTGACTACGATATTGGCTCAAATTTTTCAAAATCTCTGACAGAAAACATAGATAGCCGAGAGTGAGACACACTAGAGGCAGTAACCGTCCTGCTCTCTTCTTCCTGTATGCATGTGTTGGGTGCATCTGAGCCTTCCCCATACACCATGTCTTTACACGGACAAACCATGAACTCAAGGGAGCTCGAACTTCGAGATCCCAGTGTCGAAGTGCAACAAGAACAGGATTCTAACATGTAAGTGAGGCTGCTCTATCTTACATGGCTTGCAGTAACAACACAGTCAGCTTAGAAGGAACATTTAGACAGAAAGTCATGGTCATCATGGCCGGATTCACTATAATGTTAACAACAAACGCCCTTATCTTCTCCGCCGGTATCTATCAAGCAATTTACGAGGAAATGGCCAGTGAGCCAAACAATCCATTTACCGGAGCCTCCTCTGCGCTGATAGGCCTAATTGGAACCCTATCTATCGGTCTCATGTCCATGACCGGCCCATTCGTCATGGTGTGGATCAAGCTCTACCGACCCCAAGCCGTAGTAGCAGTGGCGGGGGTGCTTTTTGGCGTCGCCAATATCCTGGCCAGCGTGAGCCGAACCCTGTGGCAATTCGCCCTGACCCAGGGAGTGCTGGTTGGCATCAGCGTCTCGATGTCCTACATCCCGGCAACAACCACAGCGCCAACATGGTTCAACGAACGACGCGGGCTAGCGATGGGGATCGTGATCTCTGGCAGCGCAGTGGGAGGCATGATCTGGCCGTCGGTACTATCCGCGATGATCACCCACATAGGGTTCCGCAACGCTCTGCGTGTGTCAGGGGCCATCTGCGCGGTGGCAATCATCCTCGTTTCTCCAGCGGTGAAGTGGGAACATGGGTTCAACCAGCAACTTCAAGCCGAGCGCCAAGCCCTCCGCCAGCGAGCTGGACGCTGTGGCCGTCACATGGGGTTTCTCCAACTGCCCCTGATCAACTGGCGCCTCACCCTTACCAAGAAATTCCTCGCAAAAGCGGCGGGCTGCATGCTTCAGTCAGCTGCCTACTCGACCCCGCTGATTTACTATGTCGCCTTCGGCCGCTCGCTTGGCTACTCTGCTACAACTGCCTCCAATTTCATCACGATAAGTAACGCGGCCAATGCCGTCTCAAGAGTGGGGATGGGCTACGCAGCTGATAAATACGGACGCATCAATCTGCTGTTTGTGACCACCTTCCTCAGCGCCGTCGCTGTCGCCGCATTCTGGATCCCTGCTAGCATCATTGGGGCCACAACTGCCGGTAAGGCGCTATTCATCGTCTTCACAATCCTATACGGTTCATTCGCCAGCTCATATATTGCACTGTTTCCTGCCTCGCTCGTCGAGTTATTCGGGAAAAAGGATTTTACCAGTGTCAACGGGGCACTTTATCTGCTGCGAGGAATTGGGGCGCTGCTGGGGACTCCACTGACGGGTTTATTAATTCCGCAGGCGCAGACGCTGACGACGCCCCAAGTGTATGAGCGTGCAGCAATTACAGTGATGTCATTATTGTTTTCAGCGAGTTTCTGTATACTGTGGGTGAGGTTTGAGATGATGGTGGGAAAGGCTTGGAGGTGGAAGATTTGATTAAATGACTTAGTAGATTATATCACCTACGAATTTCTGGCCCATTCTCGAGGTATTTGGATAGATGGAAGTGCAAACTACTGGATCATGCTATATAGTCAGGATTACAACAGTCCAGTCAAACCCTAATCTGAATATGGCAAGCAATGTGACTGAGACATGTGACATAGTTTCACTTTGTTTTAAAGTGGTTAACGGCCAGGGTAGGGTAGGTTAATAGAAAAATTTATACCTGCTGTCAGGTTAACAGTTAGGTATGTAAGGACCTTAATCCTTATAACCCTCGCGATACTGATTACCGCGAGGAATATCCATACTGATAGCAGTCTCTGTCGCGAGGCCTGGTTAGTACTTACTACATGACCCATAGGCTACCCATGAATATCTCACTATTCGCGGATAAAGGGAGAATAGATAATAATAATATTTTAAAATAATTAATCTTATATTTTATATTTATAAATAAAATATATTCTTAATATTATCTTATTACTTAAACCCCGCAAGATAATCTATTAAATTATATTTATATAAATTATCAGAAATTATATCTGTAAGAAGTCTTCTGAATCCTTTAATTTCTTAATTTATAAGACTAATACTGAAATGATTGTAAAAGAATCCAGAGAAGTATAAATCTTTTAAATAATTTTTATAACCAATTTAATCTACTTAAATAGATCACGAATCTTGAATTAAAATTAGAAATTATTATAAGATTAAAGAGAACACGCAGAAATCTAAATAATTTCAAAAATTTTATTATATATGAAAATTTCTTATAAAATATATTTATCAAATACTAGAAAGACTTCAGGAAGCTTAATTTTATATAAAATTATTATAATACTTTTTTATTAATATTATATTAAATTCTTAGAATATATTATTAATAGTAATAGTATATTTATAGATCCCTGACAGATAAATAATATTATTTTATAGCTGATCTCTAAAAATTATTATAATATTCAAGTTTTCTTGGAATTTTATAATTTTTATTAATAATTTATTAAGAATTATTCTTATATTATACTATTTCTTACCTCTCTACTCCGTGGAATAATCATTAGATGGAAGTCAGGAGAAATCTATTTAAATATATATAAAAAAATTACTTTCTATTATTTAATTATTATTTTTTAATAAATACTTTTACTGGTATATTTGAATCCTACAAAACCCTGCCATTTAGAAACTAATATATTAAAAAAAAGATGAGTGGAGTCTTATTTTAATTTAATAATAAAAATATATTTTATCCAGTTACTTTCTAGTTATATAAATTCTCTGGTATTAAGTTAAATTATAGTATTTTAAATTAAGAATTATTTACTATTATTTATTTTTTAAATAATAAAAATAGTATCTTGAAGATATTTCTTAAATTATTAAAATCTTATTAAATAATTCCAATTTATAATTATTTATATAATAGATTAAGATTAATAGAAAGTAAACTTAATAACTTATATTTTTAATTTTTTCTAATTTTATTATTAAATATTAAATAAAAAGTTTAATCTAATAAATAAATTCTCTTAAATATTTATGAAAATTTAAGTAGAATCTGCTTTATAAAAAAAACTTTGAATTCTAATTTATAAGTCTTCATAAATATATCATCTCTGATAATCAGAGATCTAGTTAAAGTGAAATCCTAGTTTAAATCTTAAAATATATAAGAATACTCTAGATTTAATACCTATATAATATTAAGCTTAAAGGATTTTCCTGAATATAATAATTCATATCTAAAAGAAATTTAATAAAATAAAATAAAATCTGTTTCTTCTCAGCTTAATAAGAAAAATTTTACTTTAAGATATTAAGATAAGTATAAAACTCTCTTAAATTTTAGATAAATTATTAATATATCTATTTAAGCTGAGCCATAGTATCTGACTGGAATATAATAATATTTATAATTAAAATAAAAGTCTAGTCTTTAAATTAAAATTAAGATTTATCAGTTAATTATTTCTTGTCTGGGATTTTATTATTAATAAAATAATACCATTTTTGTTTATATATTAAATCTATATAGCTAATAACAGTAATAATCCTATATTTCTCTGATAAATACTTTTTAGAGACTTTCTGAAATATATATTCTAGATCAGTAATCTATTTCTGACACTTCTGAAGATTAAAATTTAATATAAATTAAAAAATATTTATTAACTTAATTTCTTCTTTTCCCTTATTTAATTTAGAGAATAATTAAGAGTATTTTAATAATATATTACTTAAGATTTAAATTTCTTGGAGATAGTTTATTCTTTATTATAAAGTATTAATTAATTTTAGTTAGTAGATATAATCTTCAAGTTATTATATTTTCTTAATAATAGAAATAGTATTTAATAATAATAATTTTATAACAGTTTAGTTACTAACTGACTCTAATTTTTTTATTAGGGTTAGGGTTTTATTAGGGTTTTATTAGGGTTTTAGGGTTTTAGGGTTTTAGGGTTTTAGGGTTTAGGGTTTA